ATTAGTAGTTCTTTTTAATTTTCTTGACTGGTCGTAAAATTAATCTGTAACTAAACAAGAAAAAGAACATAACAGAATCGTTAAAGTGTCCACCACACGAAGCTTTGACGCGATTCCTTTTGGTGTTCATGCGCTCTAACTAACTAGGTTTACTGTCGCTCTGTCTGTTTATTGGGTATTTATTACGCGATTTAGAAATGTTCCTTTGTTAGATGCAAATTACCGGAACTCAACAAAATGGCAGTCTGTACATAACAGTGGTAAAACTCACTCTAACATCTTCGGTACCATGTGCGTCTCGTTCTCTGATCAAGGGTAGGCAACACATCTCCAATTGCGAATGTCTGTGGGCAGCAGTCGCTTTGTCGTTTTGGCAAATTTTTGCGACAGCTTGCTTGATTACCACCTTTTGATATAAAAAAACAAATTGTTGGTATGTTCTAATATTTGTTGTAATGAACAAAATCAAAGTAACACCTTTAAACGTTATCTATCGATTATAGGATTTTACTTAAAGCATACTCTTTGGTTTTGTCAAAGAATATGGAATAAGTAAATTAACCATAAACAATTTTTCACTCTTTTAACAAAGCTCATTATAATGTTCATTTTTTTATTTCGTCTTTGAAAGTGTAACACAGATATAACTGGCACGTTTAATTTTACGTCAGTAAACGTAAAGGAATAATAAACATTGCATTTACGGCACATAAAAGGGTTGACTTTAAAGATAATTTTATCGTATGCACTATTTTACGTTCTTTAACGACGGAATCGTGTCTCATAATTATTACCTTAGAAATGTAAAGAATGTTTATCAAATGAAGTATTACTACAACTGTTATAATATACTTGTGTGAAAGGAATTTTTATGATCTAAATATATACGTTTATAAATGTGCTGTGTTCGCTAATCTTTAGATGTTATTTAAAAACTAAGAGCGGGAATATCTTTGACTGAACTATCGCACAACTGTTGTCGATTGTTTCGCAGCCAATTAAACTGTTGAACAAATTAAAATCGAGTTAGCATGCGCACCTTCATATAACCTTAAAGGAATTAAAGCGTGACTAAACAGTTGTGCGATAGTTATTAGACAGAGTTATTCGTGTGACTTAAAAAACAAATGGATAACGCCTTAAGTATATTAATAGTTTGAAATTCATATGTGTGTGTACATATTTATAAAATAGTCAAAATAAGACCCTAAAACTTTATATTGCTTCCCTAGTGCACATCTAAGTTAATTGCCTATATCTTTAGTTGGCATCACCATTTACTAGTAATACAGTATAATTATATTGGTATTTTACGATAGCACTTTGTGAAATTACTTCCCGGCAATAATCAAGCTATTTTCGCACTGTTGCTTAACATCAAAGTGCGTTTGGCGTCTGATATACGAACGTTTAAAACTAAGTAAAGACAAATTTAGGTTAGAAAGTAAATGCGTCGGGATAAAATAAATTCACTCGTACTCCGTCCGCGTGGAATTAAAAAAAAAACAAAAGTGAGTAATACCAGACTATCACCCAGATCTATACTTATCATCGAGATCCGTTTATTCGTTTAGGCAATAAACTCTAGGAAACATCCATCCATCCATCTAAACTTTCGTATCATATTAGTAAGATAATTTATGTTTACTTGTAAAGCAAAAATGATTAGCCTTCATAGTCAGATGTTTGTCGCACTAAGATATAAATTAGACACACGATTTTGCTTTTATTATACCTGACAAAGGTTATTGGCCGACGTATGAATGAACTCATTCTAATTCCAGAGACAAATATAGTCCTATAGTCCTTACATTTTGATTTGCAAACAAAACCAACATAGACCATGATTAAATGAAGACGCAAATTTTAAATGCTTCAATTCAAATTATAACCTAAAAAAATAAAATTAAAACTTTAATTCGCATACTTTTTTCTTATATCTTAAAAACGAAATGTTTTAACGCAAAATTTGAATATTTCTTTATTTACTAATAGTTTTAACTCCATTCATTATATTCAAGAAAAATAGTAAAAAAAGTTGTCTTCGTAAATAATTATCGTTTCGTTACAATTTAATTTTCTCTAACAAAACCGTTGTATTGGTATGTAATTCAGTATAGAAACAAGCTTAATCTAAATATCCGAGTGGTATTTAGTGAGATCATATCATCGTAAAAAGTTTATGGTTTGGCGTGCCCGGTGCGTCGGTATACAAAAATATCCACCCAACTTTATTCGCGTAAAGTGCTCTACAACCAATAAATCTTCTGAACTGAAACTTATTCTTAAATCTTACTAATATTATAAATGCAAAAGTTTAGATCGATGGATGTTTGTTTGTAAGCCTAAACTACTGAAAGGATTTCAATGAAAGACAGATGTAGATGATAGTCTGGAAGAACACATAGGCTACTTTGTATTTGTACAATACTGGATAATTGTTCAACGTGCACAAAGATAAATCAAAGAATTTGAGCCAATAGAAATCTATGCTAGATACAATTATCATATTTAAGATTTTCCAATAGTGATTTCCAAATGGTCAAGGAACCCCAGAGGTCTACAAAATAACAGATGGAGAAGAAACAGAAAACAAAGTTGAAGGTCATAAAAAAATATTAGCAATATTAGGCAAACCAGTAAAATCCTAAAAGTAAACAATAGGAATTGTGTGAATCTATGATTTACGTGATTTGATTCCAAAATTAAATCTCCCTAATATTATAAGAGCGAAAGTTTAAAGGCATGGATGTTTTTTAGAGTTTCTAGCCTAAACTGCTAAACGGATCTCCATTAAATTTAGCATAGCTGTAGAGTATAGTCTTGAAGAACATATAGGCTACTCACTTTTGTTTAAATACCACGCGGGGTCGCGGTCGAAAGCTAGTAAGTTATAATTTTTACATTCAGGTTTAGATTGAAAATGTTTATTCTTTACACGACAATAAAAATACATTACACGTTATGTTAAATCACGATTCTTGTAATAAATTGTATGTTTGATGACATGAAACTCGAACAAATGTTTCGCGTACGATAAATGCATGTTTAGACGTATCTCGTTGAAAACCAGATATGTTGTAACAAAAGATATGTGATGACAACTTTCGTAAACATTGTTTATTTGTATACGCGAATGTATTCCTTGAAAGTTTTCTTTTCCTACTAACATGTCATCGGTTTATCTTTGAACGTTGGAACTGTTTAGACAGCCCTTTATAGCTTTACTAAAATAAGAGTTAATATTGGTTTTAATTGTTATTAATGAATTTAAAAAAAATACAACACTCGTACTCGTATTTGTATTAAAACTAAATCATGTCAACTTCTATGTTCCCACTGCCTAAAAACATTTTCAAAAACATGCAGCGTGGTTTTTTTTAAATCTCTTAAAACATTTGCGCATAAAAGCTTTTATGAAATTGTATTCAATTTTACAATAGATTTACAAGTTTCAAAAGAGCGTATTTTAAAGGAAATTTTAAAACTGTAATTATTGTTGATGTTGATTTTATGCATCAAAATAAATTACAACAGATTCTTACTTTTTATCCCAAGAGAGATTATTATTATTTTATATTACTTTGATGTCCATATTAAAAAAAAGGTACATTTATAATTGAGTAAAAGGTACTTTAGCTTTTAATTGACATCAATTTGTGAAAAAATTGTCTCATGATTGATTACTATGTACAAATATCTAAAAACATACATGTAAAATTATAAAAAAACAATACTTACATTAAATTCAGGCTGAAATTCTCCGTGAAACGGGAGCGACGGCGGGCGGAACTCGTGCGCACGCAACACAAGCCGGCCATTATAATTTTATATAAAAATATCTAGTCCCGTATCGAATCATAAAAATATAAATATTTTAGGATCGACCGCTCGCGATCTAAGCACGCCCCGTCTACCCATTGACGTATTCGTTTCAAACTAATTTCGGTGCAGCGACTATTCCGCGATTCTGTAAACACCGGCAGCGGCGAAGACGATGTCCGGCCAAACCTGAGCCGCAACGCGCCTCCAACTTCTTCCTTCTCGTCTTCGAAACGTCAGGAAGGGGGCAGCGGGGCGGCTCAGCTTATACTAGAACATTAGCGCTGTTGCAAACTTAACTCTGCTGCCATTATATCACTTACTACTTTGTTTTAAAGACTATTTTTGCGTGTATAAATGCGAAATAAAAAAGTTTGTACGCAATAAGTTCTGTTTTGGGCACGCCGTGAGTCAGCCGCGATGAGGAAATGCGTGCAAGTTATAATTTCGGAGCAGCCGACATTGTTTTATGCTTTTATAAATCTAATCCGCCACAGCTTCCTTTTAAACGCCGATGCAGGAAATGTTTCCCATTTAATTGACGCTAAGGGAAATTACAAATATTACAATTTTAAGGAAACTTGTGTTTTCAGTATGTTTTCGGTTTATCCCTATTTAAAAAATATCTTTATAGATGTTATCAGAGATACTTTAAATGAACGCTATTACTGTGATTAACTTAAGATTTTAGTTAGTTTTTTATTTAGGTCGATTTTAAGAAGTTAGTCTACACATTTGAAATCATATTCTGAACGAGCTGTTCTCGTGTAGCTTCATCCGCATGGAATTTAAAAAAAAAGCCTTATTTTAATGTTTGTATTTTCCAAATTTTCTACACAAAATTTCTAAATTAAAATGCACAAAGGACTATGATGGCTTTTGCCATTGGATAACAATTACCGTTACCATAGCAACCTTGCTTCTTTGTTGCTAAGGTAATCTTATAGTTTTTGTCCCTTTTCCGGATGACCCTTTTTTCTAAATTATTTAGTCCCTAAGTTTAATAGCATGGAAATGTATAGCCTAAAGCGTGTCGTAAGTGTAGGGCATTTTATTAAAGAAAGAATTATTCAAAAATATACTGCGATTGCTGACATCTTACGCTACAAAGTGCGTTTACGCTTTATTATATTAAGTAAAAATAGATAGGGTTTAGGATAACGTAAAAAAACACGTAATATACTTAAAAGTTAATTATATTTATAAATTTAATAACTAGAGAAGTTCATCTACCAACGCTGTGCAAGTCTAGACTTGTGCAGTCTGCAGCGCCTAGGTAAATGTCATTTAGCGTTCTTCAGAGCTTCGCACGCTTCAACCAACTTCAACCCTTCCATGATGTAGAGGAGATTCTCCACCGACGCGTCTTCATCGTCATCGAACCACAATTGCAACATATTCTTCGCCCTGGCTTCGTCCGTCGCGTTTTCCGTCTCAAAGTACTGTATTTCATCAGATTTGTAGCCTAGTTTTGCGGCTAGTTTCTTCCAATCGGATAATTTAGCGGAAACAGCGTTTAATTCTATTGGTGATATCATTGTTACACGAGAACGTGTGGTTTTCTCGTCATCGCCGCCTTCAGTTGAATCGGGAACCTATAAGATTTATGCTTTAAAGTATACAATATTGGATTTATATAGGCAACGCTATACTGACATCGCTATTCTGTCGAATAATGGTAAAATAGAACAGTAGAAATTTGCTTCAAACTGTAAGTGGGTTTTTTTCTTTTTTAAGTACATTTAATTTAAAAAAAAAACAATCTGAGCTGTCTATGGTTCAAGTTAAAGGAAAGAAATATAAATCAAACTAAAGTGAACATAAAAAATGTACAATTTGTTTAATTATGGTTGATTTAAGAAATCACGTAAATAAGTATCTAATAAAATTTGTATGAAGATAAATGCTGTACTTAATAGACGAGTATCAATGAGACGGAACATACGCGAACCGAACTATGAACTATCGACATTCGGTTTAATCAGAGATTAAACTATTATTATTATTTACTTAATAAATAGCTGTTCTCGTGCGGCTTCATCCGCATGAAATTAGAAAAACTTTATTTCATTGTTTACATTTGTCAATTGCAAAATGTCAAAATGACATTACATGATGACAACCTTGCTTCCTTGATGTTGGCAGCAACTTATGGTCTCTTTCTCACATTAGGCTTTTTATCCAAAATATTTACCCCCTAAGTTTAATGGCGTTAAAATATATAGCCTAAAACGTGAAAACGTAGGGCTTTTTCTTAAAAAAAGAATTATTTAAAAATATGCTGTAATTGCTGACATCTTAGGCAACAAAGAAGTGTGTGTTTACGCTTTATTATAATAGTAGATTACATTAAGGGTTAGTTGTAGTAGATAATATAGTGATAGTGATGACAATAATATTAATGAATTAAATTATTGCCCTGACTACTGGTTGCTTGAGTCATCGGATTCCGCAGCCGGTGGTGCTCTATTTTTTATATAACATATTTTATTTTATTTTCATATCAAATCTTGTAAAATGTATTATATAGGAAATAAGGAATAAAGATATATGGAGATATATTAATAAATTAAATTATAAAACCGTATTAGTAATAAATATCAATTAAGTATATTTTTTTTATTTGTTCTGTTACTCTCATTATTGATTTGATTTTGAGTAAAGCAGTTTTTAATTTCCACCAATTAATCTCTATTAATCTATTGATTCCAATTTCTATGACAGCAAATATCGACTATCGATATAATGATACCACCCATCCCTAATAAATTGTCAAACTAATAGTCTAGTTCAGGTAATAGTATCATAATATTTACCTGTTCAATGTCGTTAGAATCTGCTCCCTTGATGAGGTCCGCTTCCATTTGCTCCTCGGTTATATCTTCTTCTACAGCCTCCTAAAGCCACAATTAAATTCAGTTTAACACTAAATAATTTAGGACTTGTTTTTATAAATAACTAGTAAGCATGAAATTATAAAAAAAAAAACATTTTATTGTTTATATTTGTCAAATTCTGAATTGCAAATATGAAACTTAAAATGCACAAATTACAACCGAGGCCCTTGATATTAGATAATGACAGTTACCATGGAAAAGTTGCTGTTTTAATTGATAGCTTGTAGTTTATTGTCCCTTTCCCACATGAAGGTTTTTTTTTTAATTTACTTACCCACTAAATTTAATAGCGTGAACATATTTAGCCTAAAGCGTGTCATAAGTGTAGGGCTTCTTATTAAAAAAAGTATTATTCAAAAATATGATGTGATTGCTGACATCCTAAGCCACTTATGCTTTATAATATTAGTATAGATATAAATAAGATACCTGTTTGACAGCTTTGTCGCTGTGAGCGGTGTGCGTGTCCCCGTTGGCGCTGGCGGCGGCGGCGGCGGCGCAGTCCCGCGCCACGCGCTTCACCTGCAATAAACCATTACTAAATCACCAAATACTTAAAAATACTAACATATGTCGCTTCTATCACCTTTTTATTACATCACTCTGTGATGTACGCAAAAGAATTACTTCCACATTTTCCGGCAATATGGTCAGTTTTTATAATTCTTATCAAAGTGTAATTATCTCATGAATTATTCACTTTACATTTCATCAATTATGTGTTACACAGAACTAAAATGTTATAATTTAGAATTAACATATAACATAATGTCATCATTCTAATACTATAAATGCGAAAGTTTGGACGGTTTTTTTTAATATACAATAAGTCAGAAAGGTGTTAAGCGAGCAAGTGACCACCTGAATTCGGCGTTGCATTTTCGTTGCCTACCCTTATTCGACGGAAGAGGAGACGCACATAAACATATTTCCTGTTTAATTTTGATATTTCTACGTTTCGTTTCCCGATTATATTTACGCTTTATTTTATTATATTAATAGAACATCTCACCATATCCTCGAGGTAATCAGGCAGTCTTCCGATGGGGTTGTTAGTGTGCACAAAGAAGTGCGGGGAGCGGCGCGCCAGCAGCCGCAGCGCGCGCCACCCCCAGCCCCCGCTGGCCGTGCGCCGCGCACCCCCAGCACCCCCCACACCACCCTCAGACAACATGTACGACTCTACACAGTAAATACAAGGATTATTCCCAACCGTCACCCCTGTCTGTCCCCACATGTGACTAAAAAATTTTATCCGTCCTACTTTTTGACGAGGGGACGGTTTTAATTTCTTTAGCTTGCAAGTTACATAATTTTTTCTTCACAGTAAGTTGGGTTAATATACATTTGTAAATCAAAAGTTTGGTGAATTGGGATTCGAACTTGGTCCGTCCATTTCAATTAAGCACTGATCTAGATCCCCAATTAACAGAAATGGGAGTGATGTTTTCTTGAATTTTTGTTAATTATCTGCTTATTTATACTTTATATCAGTTTTGAATGATTTAAAATAAAAAGTCATGTTATTTATATTAAATCCACTTACCTAATGATGGCATAAAATCTCTTTCCTTAGTCCTACATGCAACTAAATTATCCGGACACAGATTCCACAATTTTGTGAGTTCATTACTGAAAAAGTATAATTTATTTTTAAAGTGCAAAGTAAAAATTAAAAAAACAATGCAAAAATAATAAAAAATAGCATAACTACATACTTGCCCATGTAGAATTTATCTTGATTTCTATATTCATTAATTATATCACCCACTGGTCTTCTTCTCTTTCTAGTTTTTTTTACTTCATCTGTGTCAACCGACACTGGAGCCTTAGGCTTTTGGAATTCTAGAAAAACAAACAATTACACAAATATCAAAATTTAAGATTAATCTGAACAATAAATAGCAGAAATCTGACAGCCAAATACTGAAACAATGTTTGAATTTCGCATCAAACTCAAAATTCCATTAAAATATTGTTATCTCAGAATGTAAGTGGCACTTTCAAGCCAAATAATCATGTTTCTAATCAGTTTTGACAATGTAAATAAATTATTACACTATTTTATGTTAAACAGAATTTTACTGGTATTTATATTTAACTGGTATATTATATAAAATCTAAGTATTTTTACCTGGACATCCATCATTTTTCCAACTATTCCAATATTCTTCTCTATGTAATATACATTTGACACATTCAGCAAACTTTTTCCCATCCGGTGGAGTCTCTCCGAGCAAACGATAGATCAATGCCGAAGTCTCTTTAATCCAATCTACTTGTACCGATTTTAATTCTTGAGTCTCCCTGTAAATTAATACAGAGACATGATAAGGAAAGTATTAACACCAAGGAGTAAGCTAGCTAGATATTTATATCCTGTATAATTTAGTACAGCACTTGTAAAAAATAAACTTCATAGAAATAGAATCTGCTCTAACTTAAGAAAATAAGCACTAAGAATTAAAGTAAACCAAGAATTATAAAATAATAAAAAATATAATTAATTAACTATTATAAAGAGGAAAGATTTGTATTTTAGTTTGCAATGAAATAAATCAAAAACTACTGGTTCGATTTTAGACTCTTTCACCATTAGGAAGGTAATTAATTTAACTAAATAGTTAGTCATTAATATATTCCACAATCAATACAACAGAAAGAAAATCTAAAATTGTATAACAAAGATCAAAAAAACCACTCACATTTTAAATTTCACAGCAGATGTTAGATATTGAAACAAAATCAAAAATTGTATAAGTACACATCTTCTGAAATTAGAATCGGACAATTGTAACTCAAGGAGTTTCTGATTGGTTAAGAACTTTGCAAAATAGTGTTGTTCTTTATTTGATTCTTGCATATCAACATCCGTGTTCACAGCCTTAAGTCTGTTTAATTTGGATTTTTGTAATTCCACTGCCTCTAGTTTGTATGATGAGAATGCTGCCAACACACTCCCGGAATGCTGAAAATAATAGTAATACAAGATTTTAGATAGTTTGTAGTAATTTGTTGGTAAAACACCTTGCAGATGAAGACTAAAACTAATCCAAGAATTAGGTACAGATATTTGCCTACTAATCTGCGGCTTACTTCATTTCTAAAAGAAATGAAGGTTGGATAGTTCAGAAACCATAATTTGTAACATAGTTATCTAGGGTAGATGTTAATTAGAGTTAAATGTAGAGAAAAATCAAATATAGAACTTACAGCAACAAAAGTCTTCCATTGAATCTTATTGTAACATGTATTAGGGTTTCTGAAGAAATCTTGTAGACTCCAGAAGCGACAATACAAGCTATAATCTATGGTTAGTTTGGAATTATCTTCATCAATTATCATTTCTTCATCCAAAGTATCTTTCAATGTACTTGAATTGTCACCTCCAAACTCTGTGACATTCTCCAAGTTAAATTCCGATACTATATTTAGACCTGACCTCTCGGAAAATGGAAAGAATTTTGCTAAAAACAATAATATTCTTCCACAAAACACGGTGTTTTGAGAACGGGATAAACGTCGCAATAAGTCGTTGCACATTCTGAGTAGATTGTTTTTACAAGCAACGAAAAACAATTCTTCTTTCCATATGTTAACTCCTTTCTCCACGTACTCAAACAACTTCTCACATTTATTTAAAGTGAGAGCATCGAAAATATCGCCTAAAAGGACTACTGGCATGGTGGGAGTTACCATATGCCTTCTGCAGGATTCTATGCAAAAGGAAACGTAGTTTTCCAAGGTGTCTGGATTCTCAATTAGAAGTTCTAAAAGTTTATCCCGAAATGCTTGATCCATAGCCGCTTTTCTATCCACTTCATTTGTATTTCTAGAGAAGGAATCTAAAAGATCGATGTTGTTTGTTGAAAATGCTTTGGACAATATATCCTGAAAAATAAAAGCAAATAATCAAACTACAAGAATGCAAATGGTAACAATATATTTGCGGAGGTTAGAAATTTACCTTGTATTTTAACCGAAGTTCCTCAAAGCCTAACTTATCAGACATGATTAAATATTGCTGCGTTTTATGTATTTCATTAATAAGACACTTTTTTGTGATCTATTTGATTTCTAATTATTGTTTGTTTTTTATTTTCAAACCGATTTTTGAGGTCTTGCTCTTGTCTATTACAGAAAGATTATAAAAGGAAAGGTACTGACAGTATATACATGTATTATCTATGGGTATTGGGTATAGATTACAATACATTTTCAATGTTTCATTCAGTTGAGGAAACATTCAGAAATTTATATGTACATGATTCTTTTGGCACCCGGCAATAAGAGGTGACATTTAATTTAATGTCAGGGTAATAGTGACATAGCTTGTCAGTTCACTTCGCGTCATTACTCTAAGCATTTTGTGTGGCTTTTTAATGTTATTCCATGAAATTAAGTATTGAAAGTAGTGCAAGACAGTTTTTTTTAAGTGGGAGATATTTTTATCGCTGAGAAGAAGAAGGGGGTCCAGTAATTACATTTGAAAACGTGAATCATCTTGTGTCCGTTGCAATCAGAATTTGTTACCATTTGTTAATCAAGAAATTCCCTAACTTTCAAGGCGACGCATATTTTTAGATTTGTAATTAAAAAAAAAAGTTATACACTAATTGACTTAATATTTTGCTGACAGTTGTTTTATTTCCTATTTCTTAGTACTTCCTTTACAATTTTTCGTTTTCGTTTTCAAAAGGAAAGAATTTCCTTTTAATGCGGACATAATAACCTTACTGGTAACCCTAAATGCTCAGAGGCGCCATCCTGTCAATGTCAAAAAGGTGCCACAATATTCAAATAGGCGATTGTTTGGAAATAATAGATTTTGATTCATTGATGTTAATGACAGTTGAGTCTATCACTATTTTTTGTTTAAAAACTCATCAACCAACCGCAATCATTAGCTCCAAAATAGGGTGATTGAAAAGACATATTGAAAAGTATCACAGTTTACAGCCTGTCCATTTGTAGAGATCAGTGTTCAGATCACATTTGTTGATTATGATGTTTCAATTTTATTTAAACAGCGTTTTGGTGATGCTTGTATTAAACGATTTACCTATATGAGATTAATTAAAAAAATTCATGCCTTTGAGTTATGCTGGTAAGAATATTCAAAAAGATGCACTTGTACGTTTTGATTCGTTTTTTTTTTACTTGCAACCTAATGATGTTTCTTCGTCTACATTTACATTATATATTTCTAAAGGTACCATTGGCTACTTTCAATGACGAGATGGCAAGAAACTCTAACAAACACCAGCCATTGGTTTATTTTCGAAACGCATTTTCTAACAACCAACAGAAAAAGCGCGCGGAAAGGCAGCTGTGCCATTGTTGACATATACATATAACAAAATAATTATATGATGTTGTCGTGTCTACTGTGTAGCGTCCCGTCTATTTATCTTTCTTTATAAAAACTAGTTTTAGGACAAATCCTTTTAGATATAAGTGTAGATTGCGTGCTATTTGTAGTTAATATAAAATAATTAAAGTACAAGGTTAAAAGGTAGCAGAAGTGTTTTTAAATTCTAACATGGATAGAAATATGAGGTAAGGTTTATTGTCCTTTCGCTTACCATGTCACACTTTCACATCTAATACTGATTGTGAAAATAAACAGAAAGCAATTGCTTTGTTTTATATTATGTTACGTGTCAGCAATTACTGCCCCAAAAATCCTTGATAGTTTTTTATTAAATTTACGGACACGTTATCAAGCATCATTGTAATCAGTTTTGTCCACTTTGCAAATATTGTGCGTGCATTTATTATTATTATTCCGTACTGTGTAACTTCCTTGTTCGATATGAATAGTTTATAATAACTGATTTTTCGCTTTTGAGGTTTGTTTTATCTGTACTTTTATCATCCGCGCACATTTATGCCAAAACAAAATAGTGCACAGCTTCCGCATTGCGTGTTACGATTCGATGTGCATAGGAATTACGCGGGATAAATCTAAGTATTATTTTAAATGCATACATAAACAAATATTTAATCTTAATTGTATATTGATGCATGTACATAAAGTAGTCTTTGTTTTACATATTTTTTTTACTTAGTAATTGTTTACTTAGCTTTCATTTTTCATGTTTTACACTAATTTTATCTCTTAATAGTTTTTCTTGACACATTGTTTTCATTTTCTTAATTTAGATTCTGCAATTTAATTAATGAGGTTAATATCTATGTGATATCTTTTAATGTATTGTAATTTTCTAATACTTCAACTGTAAATTTCCAGATCAAGTTATGTGAACAGCGGGCCAAGATCTTTGCCGCACATGGGCGGGGGAAAGCGACACAATGCCAATGGTCACAACGGAGCACGCCTCAGTCCCCCAGCACAGATGCCTCCCGGACTACACAATAACAATAACCATAACAATAACAACAACAACAACCATCATGATGATCTCATTAATTATATCTATGATTCTTGGAATAAGGTATGGTACACATTGTTTAACTTGTTACCGACAGCGCGGCAGCCAAAACTACAAAACACTTTTTATTCTAACACATCTTTATTGAAAACTTATTTACACAAAAAATATACAAAAACTTAAAACTCCAAACTATGTCGATCACATTCTTGACTTCTTATTTTATATATTTTCTTTTACAAACGATTATTGCCTTGGTGGCCAGTATGCAACCTCTTTGGCTGTATACATACTGCTTGTCAGCCAAAAAAAGAGGTTGTATTTTGCACTCAACACACATCATTCATTGTTTAATGTGATGGGACCAAAAAAAGATATTTACTGATTGAACATTCCTGTGTTATATTGTATCTACAATAGAATTAGTGTTTTTTTGCACTTTTTCACCCATTGTTGTATCTCCCATCAACCCATTGTGAACATCACCCATTTGTATTTCACCTAGGCAAATTTTACACTTGCAATGACATGTTATGTTTTATATATTCGGACTTGGTTTCTCTATCTTTAATATTACATGATTACTCGCTATGCCCGCGACTTCGGCCACACAACATTAAGATAAAAAAGTAGCCTATAATATGCCTGTCTACGTCAGCTACCCTTCAGTGAAAGTCCAGTTGGAATCGGCCCAGCCGTTTTGGAGGTTACCTGGAACAAATATGGCTTTTGGGCAGACAGACAAACATTTTTTACATGTGATTTTCTTTATCAGGAATGCAAATACATCATCTTACCCAAATCAGCAATTTTTCTTTTGATATTACAAAAAAACACTCCAATTTTATTTCATGTATAAATTAGAAAAAGGTTACTGTGGTAGGAATATATTATTTTATTTTATTTGTGGGTTACTTAGGTAATAATAAAGGTAGTATGGATGAAATGTGTGAAAGAAGATAAGTGTATGAAGGGAGATTTGTATGATGGCATATGGAGATGTATGGTAGAGTACAGTCAGCTGCACAAATATGTACATAGTTATAAAGCTTCAGAAACTAATATACCTTTGCTTTCAAAAATATCTTTGTATTTCTTCGTATGCTTCCAACTATAAATGTATGCTGATGATGAACTTATGTGTGTGTGTGTGTTTTTTTTTATAACCAATATGCAGTTGACTGTACTAGTAGAGAAAAGATTAAGCATGTTTTGTAACATGTTTCACAACGATTTCAGGTGACACGTGAACTAGAGAGAGGCAATGAGGATGCTAAATACTACCAGGAGGTGATAACTCCTCGACAGCTGGCTAACTTCAGACCGTTCAATTTGGAGGAGTGGTGGGGCCGGCGAGTGGTTCAGACAATAAACCGCAATAAACACCGCTCTTAGTTACAGCAATCTTATGAGATATTATCTCATTGCAACATTATCTAACTTATGAGAAATGTAAGAACTCAAGATTAACAGCGTAAGTAAGAATTAACGATATGCATTTTTAATTATAAACAAATTTAACAGAATAGTAAAAAAAAAATTTTTTTTCATAGCAGCAAATTCTTTTTGAGCAGTATTTTTGATTTAAATAATAAGACTATGCATTACAAAGAAATTGGCGGTGATTTTTGTAATTGGTAAGCCATTTTGGAGGAGATTTTACGAAAAACTAGACATGTAACTTGATAAAAAAAGTGCCTAGAATCTGTTCCCGATGGCTTTTAATGCTGTAAATCTTGAGAAAAAACTGTTACATGTACAACATTAATTTACTAATGTTAAAATGTGTACTCATTAAAATTTAAGTAGACTTAAAGAATATTTATCAAGATTTTGTCTAAAATTAGAATGATAGTTCACAGTAAGATGTTGACAAGAAATGTGTCAATTAATATCACATCTTAAAAATTTAAAAATATGTACCAAAACTTTAATACATAGATAAGATAAATATAGATGTTGCAATGAGATACTGCCATACTCAAGTTGTTTAATGGTCATTTAGCTTTCTTTTAGTGTAGACTTAAAACACTAAACACTCAATCGCACGGGTCTTTTATAACGTAGCGTTGACGGTTTTTTAACGCTCTGTCATATAAACATTTTTAAAATCTATTATTACGCAAAATGCAATGCTCCTTGATACAAAATGTCATGTTTTAAAAGTGTTGCTATATAAAATACAACAAACCCCTCTATAACGCGGTTGAAGGTGGCGCATTAAAGGAATTTGCGTTATTAGAATATTCCCGTTTTACACGTTTTTAACTGGGCAGAGACAAATCTCGTTGTAGAGGGGTTCTTTTAGTAAATTGTTGGGAATATTCGCGTTATATGTATGAATTAAGCGTTTTATGGGAGCGCATTAAGCAGACTTTACTGTACATGAATATGCACTACTATTTTAACGCTTTTTTAACGCGCGTTATAAAAACACCCGTGCGGAAGGGGCTAAGGGACTTATTTAATGACAATTAGAGTACTTTAAGTGTGGCAGATAGTGTGATAATTTTATGACAACTTTGAACAATGCTCCCATTTTTATCTATAGAGTGGTACAAACAAGAAAGACATTACAAATTTATTGATAGATTGATGTCGTAATAAGTGGCATTTAAAAATAATGTTGAAAGAAATAAAAGCAATAAGAATAAATTTTAACTTTTAATATTTTTGAATATGTAAGGAAATGTAGTTTTTCATTGTAACTCGATAGTTTATAATTCTGTAAAAAAACGCAAAAAAGTGATCTTTTTTTAGTAGAAAATAGTTTCAGACATAGATTTTACTAAGTAGGTGTATAAAGTTAGTCTGGATTTCTATTATATTAAGAAGTTAACGAGTAGTATCAGCTAGTTTTGCGTATAATCATGACTCGATGTTATATTTATCGTAAGTAGAGATGTTCATGTTACAGTTATCGATAGATTTATTTTCATACATAAATCAATGATTCAATTATAATAACGTTTAATCCATTTTTATTAGAGAAAATACATTCAGTATAGAATAATGCGTTAAGATGGCATTTAACATGTTTGAAGATAAATAATCGATATTTTATTTTTGACGTAACAATAGTATTGATATATGTAGATGTAAAATATTAATTAATCACAGTGAATTCTTAATGTAAGTTTTAATAGATTTTCGGATAAAAAATGTAAAATTCAGTTTCTAATATCGATGTTTTTTCGATCATTGAACATCTCTAAAATGTTTAGATCGCATTTTAAACGTGTGGTCTCCGTTCAATCTGTAAAAAATATAACCATTTTTATTCACTGCCGTAAAAGTATAGTAACATATTTTCGTCCCTTTCATTTACATTAAGCGGAAAAGAGATAGCAATATGTTTTTGTTTTGTGTTTCGGCAGTGAAAACTGATGGTAAGACATTCCATATCCGAACAGCTCGTACTTAGCATTTGGAACGAATGTACATTGAAAGACGCAGCTCGTGTTGGCGTAGTCTACGATTTTAATAATATATTTTACAACAATAATTATTTCTTTAAAGTAAATACATATTTAAGATTTCTTCTTTTGTTTTTTTCCAAACCCCTAACAAGCATAAGGAAATGTTTGGTCATTTCATACAAATCTATACAAATAGGCTCCATCCTATAGAAATTGGGCCTCATACATCTTTAAATATCTCAGAAGGGATAATCACGATATTCGTGAAAACACTTGCAGAACCCCTACCAGGTGATAAGTGCACAAAGAAATGTCACTTTGTTAATCACGTTCCGAATACGTCTTCGTAACTGATATGTAAATATTCGTGATAGACCCTCAGATATGCCCAGGTTATTAATACAAAAAAAGATGCCACACATATTAAGTGAACTTTTTTACTCTTCACTGACGAAAATAACAGACTACAAAAGTCTAAGGAAGAAGGGAAATAATTTTTAGCGTCTGGCAGAATCTTAATTCAGTTAATAAAAAAAAAAGACTACAATTAGCATATTCATAGAATTAAAGTAGTCTCGTGTGTTTCAAGTAGACGTTTTATTTAGGAACACTTGGTATACAAAACGTGCATCTCAAAGCGTGTTTGTGTCCGCCCCAAGCGACGGGCAAGTCGCCTCTAATGAGTTTGAGAACTTCTCATTTCAACAGATTTAGACACTTTGTTTTCACATGCTGTTGGCTATATATACAGATTTACACATATAGATTACATATATAGATACATATTTTGTTTAATCTTATGTTGAAAAAAAGGACATTTACTAAGTAAAATCTTTATTTCGGAACAGGTTTCAGAATTTAGTTATGTTTGCGATACTTCCAGGTCACCAAAAAGAAGCTAGTAAATACCGCTAGTAATGAAATAATAATAAATTATATTGTCGCCGCGTATATTCATTTTATATTAATTACATTAAGGATAAATGTTTAATTTATATTGTCACTGTGTACATAATTCAAGAAAAAATAGTTCCGTTTTACGTACATTCAACGAACAGTGGCAACTTTGCTTATTTCGATCTAAGCTTAGTCCCTTGTAATATTTTTATCCCTATGTTTTGCGCCTAAAGACCAACTGCATCCAATCCTGTTTACAAACATTTTTTTTTTGTTGTCCTAGTTGTAATATGAGTATATACAACTGTTACTCGCCTGACCCGTATTCAGTGGAACATAGATTATAAAAAAGTAATTTCCCTTCCCACTATAAAATTGTGTTCAATTGTTTTTGCAGCGCGTAATGAGAAACGCGTAGTCCCGAGCGCAATATGTGGCCAGGGTAGAGAAATGAGGGGGAAAGTTCGCGAGAGAGGAAATTGAACGGAAGCCTCTTTGTTTAATTCTTCCCTGTAGGGACATTTAGGGCTGTGGCAATGCCTTGGCGTTTATATTAACAGTATTAAAACTCCAGGCAAATTTATTGTACAAAAAACTGTATTAAATTATCTTACCACGCAAGGATTCTTTAATAGTCTAGATTTTAAAGTAATACTAAATTACCTAATCATTTTGTTCTTCATCTTATTAATATTATAAACGTGAATGTTTGTTTGTATGTTTAGTAGAGATTGTAGACTAAAAGGTTTTACGAATCTATTTCAAATTTGTCAGATATGTAAAGTATAGTCTGGACAAACATATAGGAGACTTATTTTTTTAATTCCACGCCGATGGAGTCACGGGCGAAAGCTAGTAAATAATAAACAACAAACAACTACAACTATATTAATATGAATAAAGTAATACATTGTCAAGTGCTAACATATTTACGTACGTGGTTTAATTTCACAGCTTCCAGTTTGATACTTTGTTGACGGCTCGAGGCTTGAGGCGAACGAGACCGAGCGACTCTAATGAGCCGACATCTTGTTTGTCTTACTTCAACATAAGCGCTAAAATCTATTTCTAAATAACTTCTCAACTCTGGTAACTATTGCAAAGTTCGTAGATACAGATTCAGATACAGATTCAGACAGAACATCAATCTTCATTAAATGATATTGTAAATTATGATATACTACCTTTTGCCCGCGACTCGTATGCCTGGAATAAAGAAATACAAAATTAAGTATGCGTATGTGTTCTTCCAGATTCCAGATACTCTTTGTCTATTCCATATTTCATCGAGATCCGTTCAGATGTTTAAGCGACAAACTAACTAACATACATCTCTTTCTATCCATCTAAACATTCTCGTTTATTATATTAGTAAGATTTGATGAAACGCCTGTATTATGTAAGCTGATCAATAATATTCCATCTAGTCATTACGTTATTTCATTATTCTCATAAAATAATTATTTTCTACAAACTATAAAATAAAATTAAGTGATATTGAATCTAGTATTTGATAGTTACGTGAGAAAAATAATTTTATCGTGATACTTTTGTACTTACGAGTATTAGTGTAAATAATGTGATAAAAATAAGGCTTTGGATTATTACAAGATGTTGGAAACTGTTAATAAAACAAGTAAAAAATCTTTGAAATACCAAATAAAGCATTGATTCGAATATTGTCGCTTTATCTAACTGTCAGAAAATGTACATAACGTAGGTTGGTTTCCGAACGTCGGGCTTGTCACCCGGCATACATTAATGGACTTTCGCGCCATTTCCTGTTACGTCCATTTTGCATTCTTCCTTTCACAATATTTGACGTACGCTTTCACAAACGTAAAGTTACTTCATAAAGCTGTGTTTCCCATTTAAGTCCTTAACCTATATGAGTAGTTAAACGTTTGTTAATTTGATGTGTGAAAAAGTCATGTATTTTAGACAAACAATTGCTATTTGAATTCTAAAGGCATCTTATATTAGTTAGTACAAAATATTAATTAGTACAAAATTGTCTGTCTTTGTATGCTTAATTTTTTTTCTGGAGCATTTGATATTGACGAATTTCTAACACAGAGTAATTGTAACCACCAAATAAACATAAAAATGCCACAGACGTGAAAGACGAGATAAAACAAAAAGATAATCTTCATAAACTCGATGTTGGAACTTTATGAAGATTAAGTTTTTGTTTTACAATTTGCTATATTCTGAGCTTACTGCGTCAAATGACAAATAATAATGGGCGCAAATCCCTTGTTAGAAAGCAATTTAAATGCTTTATTCATGATAACTTTAATTAAAAAAAAGGGTTAAAAACCACGCACTAAGCCATGTCAAAAAAAAACCTGATGACATCTACCCATTCGTTAAATGTTTTTATATCCAATTTGTCTGAAATGTCGAAATATGAAATCGAATTTCAAGTTGAAATCTTAGAATTGCAGTAGAAAATTTAGAAGAAATCCTTGGATATTCTTACAGTCATTAGAAAGGCTCTCAGTTGGCGCGGTGGTGTGGGGCGCAAGTCAGGCTGCAAATAAAACAAAAAGCGCCTGCAATTTTCTTTCTCAAGACGATACAAAGTGGATTTAAAGTGCAATGGGATTTTAATTTAGTTGGAACTGCTTTAACACATATCAGTGTACATGCAGGGAACATTCCCTCCCATTGCTATATGTACTCTGCAATCTAGGGAATGTACTGTAAATTTATTTTTTGTACATTCGTTTTGGGTTTTTATTTTAACTCTAGCTGTTGCTCGCAGCCACGTTCTCGTAGAATTAAAAAAATACAAAAACACATAGCCTATGTTACTCACTGATAACGTAGCTTTTGAATGGTGAAAGATTTTTTTAAATCGGCCCCGTACTTTATGATTTATTTTAATACAGACAAAAATACAAATCTTTCCTCTTTATAATATTATTATAAATAAAGGTTGTATCAATTTGGAGATCAACACATTTACTTGGGTTTTTTTTTATCGATTTTTGATTGAACCGACTACGAGAAGATTTGTAATTCGTTGCAGTTCCAAAATCTTGTAGTTCAAACCTCAGCTGAAAAAAGCAAAATTTGAAACGTAATAGCATTGTCAAATTGCGAGGAGACTTTAAAAATCAATAGGCGGAGGATTGGTGCTGACGTCGAAGCAATATTTCCTGTCATTTCTGCAAAATAAAATATTGTGGTTGCGAACTCGCGGTTTCCGTTTAACTCGGCGCGGTCGGAGCGTCAGCGGGGGAAATTAAAAATTATCGGACCTATCAACGCATGTAAACCTATTTTTTTCAAATTCTTGCTGGAAACTTATTATTCTCTGACAAATGTAACTTGTTAATTATCTTACGATTACATTTTCAAGATTTCTTCCTTGTTGAAGTTGATAATATTTTTTCGCGGCAATGAGCCGTATATATAGAAGATAAAATTTCATAAAAATTAATTTGATTGTGGATATCACTTTAAAAAACATTTGTATCGACAAACTACTAAACATAAATCTATCTTTTATCTCTATCTCTGATCTCCTAAAATAACACGTTCACTGCGGTAAGTACAATCAAAATTCTTCATATAATGCGGCTCCAATGATTTTTCCGCCAGTGCATGGCAGGTCTTTCCAGACCCACCAGCACTAGGACAGATTAAATTGCTATAAATTTGTGTAAACATGATGTATACATTTTATGTAATGTAATGTATACACCTCAGATAATCGTTTCGCTCTAGCGAGAAGGACATAGTTTTCTTCGTACGCACCAGCTTAAATACCACGTCAGGCCGATATCGACCTGTTACGCAGTGAGCGTTTTAATAAACTTAATATTGATTAATATGTAAGGTATGTACATTATTATTGCAACCGAATCTTCAATGATCAAATGCCATGCTGACTATACCCAAAATATTTCCATTAGTTAGCAACATTCTATGAGCAAATAACTGACTCGTTGCTAAAGTTAATATAGGTCTTAGGTAACGAGTTCCGGTCAAAGTAAATCGGACGGAAAGGAATCCTCTGACGTCGGTAAACATTACGCTCGGTCCTTTGATGGAAATGAGGCATAATGAAAAAGGTTACAAACGAGCGCGGCTTTCGCAAGCGTCTTAATATTATAACGTGGCTAATTAAAAATGTTGCTGATTTCTTTGTGAGATGAAAAAGTAAGTATCTTTATTTTGTAAGGATTTTTATCACAAAATCTTACTAACATTATAAATCCGAATTAGATTGATGGATGTTTGTGAACGTTTAGAGCCTAAACGTTAGAACGGATCTCGATGAAACTTGCAATAAATGTAGAGCATAATCTGGATAAACACAAAGGTTACTTGCTTTTGTTTTGTTTAATACCACGCGTACCATTTGATGAAAGCTAATATTTTATAATTATACTAGCTGTTGCTCGTGACTTTGCCCGCGTGAAATTAAAAATGTAGCCTATTTTACTATTTTACCTTTTTACCTATTTTACCTTTCGCCCAGTGAAAGAATTTTAAAATTGGCCTTGTAGTTTTTGAGTTATGTCAATACATGCAAAAATACAAATCTTTCCTCTTTATAATATTAGTAAAAATTAAGATTTTTAGTATAACTACACACTTGAAATTAAGTAATGTTAATTCAATTTTGTTTTATTTCTCTCCCTTTTTTAAATACGTACCTTGTTCTCTGGAGCTCGTTTTGTAACTAAAATGTCCAATATTTCAGTCAAAATATAAAATAACGAAGACGCTGGAGTGTCGTATGAAATTAGGTCGTAAAGCTGGCGACGGTATCTTGCTACGTTTTATGGATATTTCAACTTTAATTATTACTCAAAAGATTTTTATTTCAAAATTCTTATTTCCTTTTCGTATAAAGCTCGTAGAAATATTAACTCAAAAACAAATGAATTTCAGTTGTTTTGTAATTCAATGCAAAATTTTACATTGAATTCGGACACTTTTAATTTCTCATCTCATAAAGTAACATTAAGATAGAAATATTAAGCATTGACGTGAATTAAATCCGATCTAGATAAGATTGGTTTTATGTAGTGACATAATCAAAATAGGGGACCTAGGTGTTGCTCAGCAGCAGCAGACTACAAGAGCAGTTTGAAGCTTTAATGTCAAGAAATTATTATGAGACCTATTTTTCTCTTTTTGGTCTGTAGCAAAATTAAATTAATGAAATTGTATTGAAAAGCTTTGGGCATTTTAAAGGTATTTATGCATACAATATTTTGCGACCTTATTAACTTGCTTTGGGATTGATAGTACCTACTTGTTGTTTTGGAAAAAGTTTATCGTTGTTTTAATAATAATCGTTCATAATTTAGTGTAATGTGTGTGTTGGTAAAAGATATGATTGATGTAAATTAATTTAAATAAAATAAATTAAACAAAATGTAAAAGTGAAACACTTTATTTGATCAAAAATTATTCAATTTGCCGTAGTCGTTGGGATCAGTCCGTTAATTATTTTTTGGATTTTTTTTCGTACTTCATGTAATCTTGTACATTTTAACATCAACATTAACGCATTTGACATTGTATAGCAATTAATTTTAATATTAATTATTGGTACATCGGAATCCATCAAACATGCTTTGGTCGTTTATTTGCCAGATGCAATCTAGATGAGAGAAAAATATTAAACAACTTATCAACTATCAGTGCTATAAGTATTAATATTCCTCTCGAAATAGAATAATTTACAGTACAAAATTATTGCATACAAGAAATTAGTAGATTGAAATTATAAATAGAGATAAGCATAGATATTTGTAGGTTATGTACAAGCAGCGGTTCGATTGCATCGTGCGATGTGTTCAGGCCTCGGCGTGCGGCGTGCTGGACTGCGTGGTCGTGACGCTGTTGCTGTTGGAAACGGAATCCGGATCCTGTTCGCGGACTCCGAGCCAGGGCAGGCGCTTCTGCAGCTCAGCCCTGGAGATACACATTGTATTAGAGAGCGCGCACTCGCTTTGATATATGGCGATGCGCACACTAGATTTTTAGTTACGCAAATAAACAGTTGAAGGCTGCGACAATCGACAATCGCACAACAGTTGTGCGATAGTTTAGCCGAAGGTGTACGCACGCTTTCAGACTTCAGTCTAGTCATACTTTAATATAACATTTCCTACAGATGACGTAAAATCTAAAAAAAAACGTCAGCTTACCAAGACTATTTAATTATCTTAATTTACAATATGGAAGTTTTCTTTAGAAAAAGATATGGTTACAACTGCACTTTAAATATTTTGAAGCTCTTAAAATTGATACCAACAGACAAAATACTGTTCACGTACTGACCTGTATCTTGGGTGGTTGATGGCGTATACCCATGGATCTATGCAGGATACAATCTTGCAGCAGACGGCCGGAATCATCGTAGCAACAGGCGTCAACAGGTTCCTAACATAAATATCATACTTAACATGCAGTATGAAATTAGAAAATCGAAAATCACATTGGTACAGCAGGATTCGAACCCAAGACCTGTAGTTTACAACTCAAGTGCTTAAACGCCTGAGCCATCGTAATGTAAATCGATATGATGTTTACTAATTAATCTACAGTTAAAAAACGAACAGTTTGTTCTGGATAACATTTATCAAGAGAAATTCTTTCAGTTATATTACTCCAAGTACTTTAAAATTTAGATGTCGTGCTGTTTGAGTATGGTCTATTAATATTGATTTTAATAAAACAATTGTACCTGTCTCCATAAGCTCCGGTCATGGTGACGAAGGCGTAGGGAGTCCAGCCGCAGACGAACATGAAGAAGATGGTGAAGGCTACCTTCGCGATCCTGATCTCAACGCTCTTGCTCGCGTCTTCCTTGTTGCTGGCCAAAGATTTTACGTTCATCTTCTTAGCCTGCTCTTGTAGCATCCTCTCGTGAAGTCGGACCTGGTGGAAATAATCAGTTTCGTCTGGTTAAAGGAGATGCTGATGAATGAGGAGTGTATTACATTTCAGAAAACTAAGAGGGGCAATAGAAAATGCTCCACTAGCAAGAAACAGTGCTAATATGATATTGTTCTAATAGATTTAATATCTCCTTTCCTGAAACATATTAAATTAAATCAAGCGTAACGGGTACAGGCAGCAGAATAAATCCTTCAACCCATATGGTCACCCAAATGTAAGTGAAAACATGTGAAGGTAAACATTTATTTATATATTAAAAGTACGGTCGATCAATGAGGTTCCTGAATATGTAATAAGGAAATTATTCAATAGAAAAATCCAACGGGACCAAGAAATCGAGCTGAATATTTATTGGGTGCGTCGCGTCCGATTCGTTTTAATATACGATTTAAGAAAAGGTTTGGGCACAGAATGAATAAAACGGATTTTATAGAATTGATTTTCTAGTGAAAGTAAAAATACGGTAAGTAGCTGAATTTCACGTAAACTAGATAATATGTTAATATCTAAAAAGTACTTGGAAAACAAAGCAAAATGTTGAAGTTTATTTACGCGAAAATATATTAACTTATCATTCTTTCATACTAATATTATAAATACGAAAGCTTAGATGGTCTAATGGATGTTTGTTAGAGTTTGTAGACTAAATGGTTGAACGGATTTCAATGAAATTTGGCATAGAAGTTGAGGATAGTCCGGAAGAACACACAGGCTAATCACTTTGTTTTTTTAATTCCGCGCGAAAGGTGTCGCGGGCTTAAGCTAGTATTTGAATAGATTTAAGTAACAGTTAAATACTTACAGCACCAAAGAGTTGAGAGTAGAAATAGCAGATAAGGGTCATGGGGATAGCGTAACTCCAAACAAAGATACAGGCGACAAACACTTTGGTATCATTGTCGTCGGTGAAGTAGTCGAATGAACAAGTCGTCAGGAAGCCCTCTGTAAACACAAGACCATATCAGTTGAAAACCTTAATAAAAATAACTACTAAAGTAAAGAATTTCTTATTGAATCTTTCATAACTACATCCTAGTATTGTAATGTAATGTAATACTTACCAGGAACAAATCGTCCCCAAACCTTCATGGCTGGTAGGATGGTGAAAGGCATTGACCAGAACCATGTGAATGCGATAAGTAGAGAAGCTTGTACTTTGTTGATTCTTCCGTCCAGCGGGCATGAGATGGTCCTGTTGAATTTTAAATGGAGTTAGATTATTATCATACTCTTAAGAAGTTCTATTACAGATCTTAAGAATGTTGACCCTAAGATTGAATACCATGACCACGTCTGCGTGGAATTAAAAAACAAAAGTGGGTAGCCTCTTTATTCTTCCAGACTATCCCCTAAGTCTAAGGCAATTTTCATCGAAATCCGTTTAGCTGTTTAGGCTACAAATTCTAACAAACATCCATCCATCTAAACTTTCGCATTTATAATATTAGTAAGATTAAAACCTAGAAAACACTGTGTTCATTACTCACTTGTATCTATCGAAAGCAATAACAGCGTTGGTGATGGCTCCCCCAATGCCGGATATGGAGCCGAGGATAGCGTACACGTCACAACCGAGCTGGTACCCGACTGGATATTGATAGAATGAGTTGACGATCAACAGTGGCATCTCTATCATCATCATCAAGTCGAACACCGCGAGGTTGATTACGAACATGTTGCTTGCACTGCGCAACGACTTCGATCTGAAATACAATAAGGTTAAATTGAATTCTCGGATTATTCCTAACCGTCAACCCGCTCTGTCCCCACGTGAGATTTTTTCATCCGTCCCACCTTATAGTCCCACTATCACCAATAAAGTGACAGATGGAACCGTTATGAAATAAAATGAGTTCCAACCGTACGTGGGACAGATGAAACTTTATATTCTCATCTGCCACCACGTGGGACAGAACGGGGTGACGGTTGGGAATAAACCGAATTCTCAATAAAAAGTATCCTTTTTGTCCAAGCATGTACATATTTTATGGGTTTCTATTCCTTAAGTAGTTGGAGATATTTATCTTAGAAATGCATTGCGTTGTGTTTCATGCGTTGCGTTTATTTTCACGAAGTACAAAATACCACAGTGGTAGTGCCCGCTTTAACATCTTAGCACGAATGGGCCGGCACGCCCGGTGTAATACCACGACCACACAGAAGACAGGCGTGAAATGGAAGCAATTCCGTGTTTCGTCTGATGAGTGTGGTGCCGGAGGCCTAATTTAAGTCCCTTTCTCTTTACCACCCTTTTCTTATAAGAAGAGGTTGGGAAGAGGAAGTGGATTTGACGGCGGAGGAGATGCATAGGAAGGGGAAATATCCTCTTTATGTGCATCTCCTCCTCCGTCGCATAAGGGTAGGCAACGCATCTGCAATTGCGGATGTCTATGGGCAGCGGTCGCTTCGCCATTTTGGCGGCTTCAGGTGGCCGCTTGCTCGTTTGCCACCTTATGTTATAAAAAAAAAATAAACATTATTTGATTTAATAACTGCTTATTTAATGTTTGCTTATAATCTTATTATCAAAACATATCAAAGAAAAAGAGATGATATTTAATTATGAAAATACTCTTGAGTTCGCAAGCCCAATTTGTTTCACATGTGAGATGTGAGTAACATGTGCGATAAACAATTTATTATGTCAAATGACGTGTGACAACATGGCGTATATTTTTGCTTTTAATTAAGTGCAAAATTGTTTTATTACGTTTATTTATTACTGTACTGACATTTGTATTTTTAGTATATAAAAAAACAAGTTTAATACTTATGTCGGCATTTGTTATATTAGTCAAGTACGGTTTGTCTTTTGTTTAGGTTAAATTTTTTTTAATGTTATGTTATACGATAGTAAGCCCTTATAATAAGATTTACTTCGTAGATCCGATCCTATCTTGAAGTTTTTTATCTTAGAAGTAATGAAATTTCACGTGTCAAGATAACAGTTTCCAGGAATTTCAATAGTTGCAACTTTGCCAATTACTACAAGCTTACTGTTCAAAGACGTTCGAAGCTAGTCTCGGAGTAAAAAAGAAAGAATAAGAGATTTTAACTAATTCTTAGATAGACTAAACAATATACACCAAAATAGTAATTTATTTTCCTTTTCGTTCTGTTATAAATAAATCCATAACACATTCAATTTAAGCATGGTTTAACAAAGTACGATATGCGTGAAAATAAAAAAAAATCTTAAACGGTTATTGGATATGGCATCAAGTGTATCAAATGACGTCACAGTATCGAGTCCCCATGACACAGATACTGGAAAGAGCGAGATAAATGGGAATTGAAACTATGACTTTTAAGAGACAGGACCCAAACGCCAGCATTCTCCTTTATAGAATTAAAACGAACAACGGCATCTAAACATGCTTGCTCATTTACTTGTCTTTAATGTGTATATTTTATGCCAATAAAATGCTTCTATTCCACTTAAATATTAGCATACTACGCACATGTAATATTTTATGAAGTACAATTGCAAACATTGCCTAGTCCGTACCTTTATAGTCGAGGATAACGAATAAAATTGTACCGAAGGGAAGAGTCGGAATCGTTCCGAATGCGAACCGCTTGAAACTTTGTTGGTGACACTCGTTGGAAAACTCTCGGATGTTGAAAAATTCTTTTTAATACGGTATTTAATTGTTAATCTACACATAGTTAAAAACAAATGTTCTTACGTTTTGTATAATGTTCATTATGTTAAAGTTGTAATCACTTTGATATTAATAAAACCAATTTACATTAGTAAAATTATTAGTATTGACAAAAGATACCGCAGGATATGTAGTAATATAAATGTTACGATTAAAAATGTATATTAAAGTTATATTTTTTGAAGAAAATATTTGGAAATAAAAGTGTAAAAGTAAAGCTAGTGCTACGAGACATCGTAGTAGGTTCGTAGCGTCAATCAAGTTAGCTCGAGTCGAAAGTTAATGAAATCCCCACTGAGCTACGCGGTTGAATCAGTGACGCGGTCAACAACACTCGGTGCCCACAAATTGTTTCGATTTTATTAAATTTGACGCCATTTTTTGCCCAATATCGAACTTCGAATTCACATAGATTTATAGATGTATGGATTTTAATGCAATACGCAATTATTAACCATTTATTTCTTAACTACTGAAAATCGGATTTATATTTGAAAATAGTTTTTAAGAAATATAAACGATATCGAAGAACGGTGCAAATGGAATTCCGGGATCTTTTTTTCAAGTCAACAGATTTCTGCGAGTGCTTTTATTTCTGCTGAATAAACATTTAGGTATAAGGTTCGAGAAGGAATGCTTCAAATACAATAAACATTATTAGTTTAAGGGACGAATGATTACACAAAACTCAAATATTATGTAAAAAAATTGCCTTACGCATTGTTGGATTTATTTAAGGTGTTACAAAGTATTTTATTTATACAAGTTTTTATTATAATATAACAAAGGAGTATGTATAGTTAGCAGAACATGTACGAGATATAACGTGATATAATAAATGTAGACTAAGCTATGAGTTTCGGAAATGCTAACAATAGCCGGGGGCGGTTTCTATGAGAGAGATTGTCCCGGACGCGGCCACCTTTGTCAAGATTACATTTGTTTGTTTGGATTACAACTCTAATATCGCTGGATTATAAGTTATTAGTTTAGCAAAAGGTCCTAATTAAGTGCATTTTATGAAAGTTACTTAAAAATGTCTAAACTAAAATATTTGGTTAAAAACATATTGGCAATACTGCGTTTACTATCGTGGTGGCTTTGTTTGGCTCTTTTGTCTATATTTGACATTTTTGATGCATTGTTTGATAGAATATTAAACACTTAAGAGTATATGGACACATGAAACTAAATTATCGCCCTACTGTTTAGTCTTGCTTTGTGATATACTCGATTTTTATTTATGCAACTAAACATTAGAATGGGCTGCGAAACAATCGACAATCGATAGTTTAGCGCCCACTCTAAGTTACCGTAAACTTGTATTTAGAGTAATGATTAATAAAAACTTACGTGCTGAATATCCAAATGACGATGCCGTTCCCGATAAGCGACGTGACCATAAGCATTGTGTAGATGAGGGCAAGTATGAAATGGTAGTACTTGCTGACGGAGGGGAAGCTGCGCCAGTGCGCGTGAACCATCGCCTGGTGCTCCTCCGGGATGTTCCAGCCCATCATGTGCTCAACCATTTCCGATGACACCCTGACATCATAAAGGATTAAACAAACACATTTCTGACTGTTGGTTGCAACTAAAAGCGTTATTGTGAAACGTTGGGTCCGCTCTCAAAAGATGGTAAGTCGTCACCCTTAGAGTAGATTCCGTGTACGGAATCTACTCTAGGACTACACTAAGAGGCCCCCTCATGTCTAAGGGAATCTGATATAAAAAATATTTGCACACATTATATCATGAGCCATCATGTAGGGTCATAATAAAATGAATGACGAAAATATTAAACAAAGTATGTTACGGTAAAAATAACAAAAATAATAAAATAAAAACAGTACTTACAGTTTCATGGGGTAGGCCATAGGGCCGATATCGTCTGAATAATTTGCAGCCATTTTGTGCAGCGTCTGTTTTAATGTAAAATAATAATATTCTACTCGACGAGCACTCAGCAGTAAGAGGTTTGTAACATTGGTTGGTTAATTCTAGAGTTGACTACGGTTTTGACGAAGTGAGTAGTCCGACAACGGCTGTCGCTTCTCACTTGTGCTCTGCCTCAAGCGGTGCTACCTTTTATATCGGCCGAACTGTGCGTGCCTGTTAATTCCTTAATTCAATAAAACAACTAAAGCCTCTTGCTTATTTCGTCAAGCGTGAATCGGACGAATGACGGGTGTTCTCAATCTGTGGTGAATATTTTAATTTCTATGTTTGATACCCCGTTAATTAATTTCTTAGATTCTTGTAAGTACGCGAGAACATCTTTGAGTAAACTATCCCTCAACTCTTTAGTCACGCTTTGATTCCTATGAAGTTATATGCGCACACTACTCGATTCTTAATCGACAATCCCAAGACAATTTTGCGATAGTTTAGTCAAAAGTGTGCGCTCGCTTATAACGTAACAGTAGATGTAGGTACCTGGTGCTACTAAGTTTGCTGATGATCCCTTCTCTTCCCTCATCCTGCCACGTACTGCGCTCATCTATCGACAACCAAAAGTACAGAAGACTAAGAAACCATTCATTAATAAAACCCTCTTAAAACCACAAAGAAAAGCTTAAAGAAAATGTCCAAACAAAATGTCGGAACGTCCTAAAATGAAGCGGACATAACTCAAAGGACTTCATTACGAAGACAACAAGATTGCGGACAATCCCTAGTTTTTGAGGCGTCGCTGGGATCTTCACATCATAGGCCCGCAACGTGCTCGGAATTTAGCCCCTAACATTTGCTTTTCAAACGAATGTTTGTTCGAATATCACATCTTGGAATAAATATTGGTGAAATTACTAACTATATCTTACTATCATTATGCCTTACTAATAATGTAAATGTGACAATTGAGATATTGGGACAGAGGACGGATATCGATGAATTTTGGTGATGTAGAAAATAGCCTGTAAGGACACTTTTTTTTTCTACTACGCAGACGACGTCGCGGGTGAAATCAAGTTTTAAATTGATTATCTTAACAACGTGGAGAAAAAGTATTTATCAGTTATATTAGATATCTTTAAAATCTCACAAATTTATTTTATAAAATCTCAATAAACACGGAATCTAATCAAGCTGTTTGATTGCTCAATTAACTTAATGTATTTTCAACTTAGTAAACGTAATGTATGAAACACTATCGAGTGAGTACTCCTGTTAGGGGCTGGTACTGAGAAAGGCGACCTGCAGACGCCTTGCTGTGGTCATAAATTCAGCCTGAAGTGATGACCGCGTAAATAGGTCGCTGATAATATTTGTTATTGGGTGTATTCAATTCTGGAATATTTATGACTCTTCCACTTTATGTCGTGGTAAAATATGTTGAAATACTTCTTTTACAAGAACTAGTAGATATAATAGGTTGAGATTGCGGGAGTATACTGGATGCGGACTGATCATCGTGGATATCTTTGCGTCTTAATATTAGTATTAAATGAAAGTCAACTTTAAACAATCTGGGGGAGGCCTATGCCCAGCAGTGGGCGTCATATGGCTGAGCAGTAGTAGTAGGTATTCCCTTTATGTCAAAGTGAAGTGAAAAGCTGACTTTTCAGAACCTTCTAGATATTCGTAGAAAGAATTTTTTTGATCGAAGGCATTAGTCGAAAAGAAAACAAGATCGAAATTGCATTAAACAGTTTTATGCAACAGTATCTTGTTACGTTTGATACGAATAGTCACGATATCACTTACATGGCTTTTTTATTAGTACAGCAACTCGCGTACTGGACGGCTGTTTTTTTATTTTTTACTGATTTATTTTAAAAATAAGGAATTTAAAGTATTTAGTTTCTTTAATTGTAAGACACTAGACTTTCCTCCTAACATCTGAAAGTATTCCAGGCGTTTTTTTCTATTTTTTTCGTGTTTCGGAAATGATTTTTTTTAAATACAGCAAACACGACGAATGGTAATCTGGATATTGAGTTTCAGCCAATATTGTTACATATAAACAGTTTTTTTTATTTTCTACAAAAATAATTAATCAACGTATAAAGAGAATTGAGTTATCACGAAGTTCTAATGTTAATTATGAGAGAGTAATTTGATAGAAGTTTACTCAGCGTTAATAATATTTGCATAACTGGAACAAACTATGAATGTATAACTTAGTTTGCGAGTTCCGAGATAGTAATAACATGAAATAAATACATAAATTCTTTCAATGCGTTAAATCAAACTAAATTCACATGTAAGTAATTTAACTAACTGACACTTAAAAGAGTTATTTTTGATTAATCATTTCACATGAAAAATTAGATTTATAGGTTATAATAAAATGTAAGTTCACACATTGACCAAAAATCGTAATTGTTTATTTTCACATATAATCTAAAAACATATCCCTTATTTGGATTTAATTAATCTTTGTGGTTTTATCAATTAGGTATTTGATGCGGTTCGTGTATGCATTCTCTGCTCTACGTTATGGCGTCATTGCCACAGACCATAAAACCGCCAGCCCATGTGTTTACACTTAATGCCAGCTAGCAGTGTCCAAAACCAATTATGTACACCGCTTGCCGCACGATATATTACCGACATGAATTTATGAATCCTTCCATATTATATTATTCCTTGTATCCGAATAGAATCGTATTGTATTGTATACTATGTATATATCTATACTCGGAGCTATGTATTTATATAGAAATAATAAAGTAATTCAATATATTGAGTTACTGTGTTCGCGACGTCTGAGTTCTCCTTGTATTAAAAAAAAAACAAAGTGCTTTTACCACAATCGCAATCATTCGTTGTTTAGTTACATCTAGAGTTTCAAATATTTGAAAATCCATACTTTTTCCGTTTTAATATTAGTAATAAATTAAAGTAAACTTTTAACCATCGTTACAAAATGAAAGAATCTTAACTTTGTTATTTTTCCAATAATTGCGAAGTAACGCAAAAAATCTGAAAGTAAAAGAACAACGAACGATCACATAAAACCTCTGCAGGAAAGACTTTCCTTAAATTGTTTCCGGAATTCAACTTGGAGCCGGCCTTCCATCGGTTGCCACTTAAAGGGCGGGTCGCACTTTTTAACAATACAAGCTGAATTGGGCCACCTTATTCGGCTATCTAACGAAATTGGTATTGCTTTAAATGTCGGTTTTTTCTTCTCGGAAATAATAAAATTTGTCAATCGATCTGTAACTTTAAGTTCGATTTAAGTTTTGGGGCGTTTCTAAGCATGGCTTATTCTGTTCGTCTTATTGGTTTTATAGATTTACTAGCTGTTTCCTTGCGATTTCATTTGCATAGAATTATAAATATTTCATTTTGTTGTTTCAATTGTCAAATTATCAATTGCAAATGTCAAAATGATATGACATGATGTCAAACCATGTTTCTTACCTATCTTTCCCACATTACAGTTTTTATCCAAAATATTTACCCCTAAGTATAACGACGTGAAAATATATAGCCTAAAGCGTTACGTAAGTATTAAGTTTTTTTTTATTAAAAAAAGATTTATTCGAAAACATGTTGTGATTACTGACATCTTAGGCAAGAAAGAAGTGTGTGTTTACGCTTTATTATAATAGTATAGATGAATAAACTATCGCACAACTGTTTAGTCGCACTTTGATTCCAATAAGCTTATATGGAGGTGCGCACACTCCTCTATTTTCAGTTGTGTAGCTAAACAGTGGAATTGACGAAACAATCGACAATCGCACAACTGTTATGCCATAGTTACTCAAAGGTGGGCACCCGCTCTTAGTACGCAGTACAAGACGCATACAAGTTCACGTTAAGAAGGTATAACTGAATAAATCAATATCATAATTTGATAATGACTTATCCGAATCGCTGTGTTAAATACGAAAGAGATAAAAACGAGATAACTATCAATTATTTTAAAAATACACTCAGTAATTTCCACAAACATCAAAATGAAAACGAGTCCGTTTCCCGTTTAACATGAATCACATTTTAAGAACAATGTGAAGGAGTGGCTAATGAAAAAAATCCCTGGGAATTGTGGCATTCGTAAAATAATGGCCTCTTTGTAAAATATTCCCCTATTCATTACAATGGATGTAGGGAACACAATGACGACTACAATTTCTTACGCCACCGTACACCCTTATTCGTCATTTAGCACTTTTAAAAGTTGTATTTTTAATTATTTAATTCAATCCTTTTTAACACAGTTTTAAAACCAGAAGGTCTATCATGAATATTGCCATGAATTGCTATAACGTATTCGTAACATCGGTTGTATTAGATTGGTTGGTGTACTATACAACCGGCACAGTCGAACAAATATAACATTTTGTCGAAAATGTTACGTATTCGTAATTTTCCAGACCATTCGTGATAGGCCCTCAGAAGTAAATATAGCGCGAACAAAATATATAAATCTTAGTCGGAATATTTTTCGAAATGTTAAAACGCTTCTCTTTTATAAATGCACAATTTTTTTATTCATCAACTTGATAGAGAATTAATAGCCGTCTCTACCTAATTAGAATAATATTATAACATGATGTTACATTTCGTATCAATTTTTGATCTTAACGCATTAAACATATGTCGCTTGTTTTAATTAAAAATTACAATACATTTATAATTAGCTGCAGTATTAAGTAACGGCGTCTTTTGTTAAGTGTCCATAAAGCTTAGAGAGAGGTTTACAAAATCCAAAGACGGCAATTCGGGTCATTACACACGACCATTATCTTGAACTATGTTCCAGTCCGACCGCTTTACTTTAACTCGCTTAATACTGTTGACAAGTATTTTTGCACATAACAATAACTTTGCTGTACGTTTTAGTTATTTTTCTATGTTAATAACATGATTCTATCCATATCATTACATAGTTTAATTTTAAAATTAAACAAAGGAATCATAATTAGAGTTTTATTTTTCGGCGGTTGCGATTTGAGTTTCCGAAGTTCCACGTCACCGTATGAAGGGTGATCGTCCATGAAGCCGAGATCCATTTACAAATTGCACAGAGCATCGCTCGGCGTTGCGAAGGCGGGAAGTTCCCCGTTGTATAAATTTGAATAAACAGTTGT